ACAGCCTCTTTCCAAGTCAATCGAGCATCGAGTGTAACGCCCAGAAACTTGTACTTTCGCACTTGACGAAGTTGTTTTGTTCCAAGATACAGCTTCAAATTAGCTCCGCGGCGATGGCGACCCGGAAATAGGATGTACGCGGTCTTTTCAGCTGCCAGTTGTAGTCCTACGCTTTGAACGTATTGTTGGACGCAGTGAATGGCTGTTTGGGCAATGTCACGAAGGTTTTGATGGCTTTGACCCGAGACCGATATGCAAATGTCATCTGCGTATAGCGAAATTTCGATTGGAACAAAGAGCTTAGGCAGTGCATCCGGAAGGCCAGCCATGATGACATTGAAGAATAGTGGTGATAGCACGCTTCCTTGTGGTAAACCGCGAGCGCACGAACGAGAAGTGCTGAGGGACAACCCGAGCTTTATCTTCAGACTTCGGTGGCTCAACAGGTTGCTGAGGAAGCCTTGGACGCGACCAGTAATTCCCATGGCTGTGAGAGATCGAAGAACTGCTGAGGGATCAACATTATCAAAAGCCTGTGTGACGTCAAAAAATACTGCCAGTGTTTCCAGACTTCCTTGATTGGTATTGTGCTCGATGTCACTTCAATATCAAGAATGCTGTCTGTTGAGCAGAGTCGTGGCCGAAAGCCAGTCATGCAATGTGGGAATAACTTCTTTGTGTCGATCCACCACATAAGCCTGGCATGCACAATCCTCTCCATAAGTTTACACAGGCACGATGTCAAAGATACTGGACGATACGAGGACAGGAGAGCTGGATGTTTAGAAGGTTTCTTGATTGGTATTATCCATGCCGTGAGCCAGATGTCTGGTATTTTGCTAGTGATCCATATTTCATTGAAAGAATTCAAAATATATTCTATGTAGGTGCACCGATTAAAAGCCCATGCAGGGGGGCTTTTAATCGGTGGCTTCACCTGTTGTGTGCCAGAGAGAAAGAGAGGGATAGAGAGAAAGAAGAGTTTATTAAGGAAGGACAGAGGTGTTAACCTGAACCTAGGTTCCGGTTGGCTGCTCTGTACTGCGGAGAAGGGGGAGGGGGAAAAAGCACGACGATGCTACAATAGCAGCGCTAGGCAAAAATACATTTTATTATGTTGTTTTTTTTTTTTATTCTAAACTGGATATTCAAGACTTGCCTACGAACTGACGCAAAAAGTGACTGCAAATGTAGCCCGATTGGGCCTTAGTACCAGATTACGCTTGCCACACAAGCTAAGCTGCAACACAGCAACAGAAATACATGAAAGCTGCAGATGCACTATAGTCGGTGACAGGCTCAGGGCGAAAGAAAAGAAGGCTGGTGACGGGGAAGCAGGCGGAATGCTGGAGCGAGGGGGATGTTTCCTCCTCTTTTCTCTAGCAATCTATCAGCTCCCTCCTCCCCAGCCTACCCCTCCCTCGCCCTAAACCCTTGACCTGTCACCGATTATAGCATATACAAAGAATACAACGCAACAACACAATTTGAAAAAATCTTTGGAAGACATTCAACTTTATTAAAGGCCATTAAACAAGATTAAGAAAATACATGTCCGATTGTTTCCTGAAGGTTTGCGGAGAGGAAGTGTTCCAATATATCAATTAAGTCAGGGTAAGTTCAGTAAGTTTAGAATTTGCCCATTTAATAGTTGTGTGCCATAGCTACACTCCGTTTCACGATACCTTGGCGAAACGTGGAGGCTACGACCCCCGCTGTCCAATAAGAGTGTCGGAATAAGAGAGTCAGGAAGGTTTTGTAGCATCTGATAGCTGATTTCATCAGGGCCAGGGGAACTTTTCCGCCTACATGCTCGCAGAGCCGCCTCAAGTTCTTTCGCAGTGAATGCCGTATCCAGAGCCGATGTTGAAGTGTCTGGTTGAACGTTGCTTGGTGGCTTGCTTTGAACTGCTGCGTACCTGTCAGCGAACTCTTCAGCAATATTGGCAATGTTGGTGCCACGCGAAAGAGCCAAGGAGGCGTAAGGTGCACGCGGTTTTCTTCTACCGGAAAGGCTGTCGATGATGCGGTATACCTTGGAAACGGGAGTGTGCATATCGGAGCTGGACCACAGCTTTTCCCACTGCGCTCGGCTCAGCTTCTTTGCGTAGCGGCGAATAAAAGCATTGATGCGATTAAATTCGGTTTTATATATGCCAGCTCCCGTGCGCATAAGAGATAGCTGCGATCGCCGCCGTGCAGCGCAGATATTTTGTAACGTGAGATCGGGTGCTGGGAAATACTCTGGTAGCCGAATTGTTTTTGTTGCTGCCTTCTTGCTTTGAATTATTGTGTCCACGATACTTAGATTTGAGTCACCAAGGCCAGAGCGAAAAGTGTCCCAATTTGTGACAGGAAATGTTCGTTGTCGGGAGGTCTGGTAACCTTCCATAGAAACAAAAATTGGGAAATGGTCGCTGCCCATCGTGTCAGGAACTATTTGCCACGTTACTTGAAGTTCCGACGAATGTGCGGTCACATCGATGGCACTAAAAGAGGCAGGATATCTGAAAAAGGTAGGTGATCCGTCATTTGCGATTGCGAGCTCTTCAACCTCAAAGATTCCGGCCAGTAGTCGTCCTCGTTTATCAATTCTTGCGTCTCCTGACAATTCATGATGAGCGTTCCAATCGCCACATATAATGACTGGCGTTGGACAGCGTTTACAGAGTTATTTTATTATAGCGTCTACCGCTACCTTTACACGAGGCCGTACATAAACCGAAACGACGCTAAGATATTTTTCTCTAACTTTCACTCTGGCCGCCGCTAGGTCTATCAACTCTGCGCAAAAATCATCAACTGGTATCTCTATGTCAGAGCCGTATATGTAGAGAGTTTGGCCATTCGTTGGGAAGTATAGGAGACAAATAAAGCGGCGCCATTGGCCGAAAGCGGGCTGGGCGTGTTCCAGGGCGTCTTCAGAAATTCGAATGTGACCAACCAGAAGCCGGAAATAATACCCTGGCGGTGGTCGCAAGAAACAAACCTGATAACTGCATTGAAGTAACTCTCGATGTCTGAAAATATGGTACACGTGATGTTTCAATCACACTCATCTAAAATGATGGTGGAAGAGTGCGACTAGCGGAAAGATCGACATAATCCTTACGCCAAACGCCGAGCGCCGAGAAACTGTGGTCAGAGCGGTCACACTCTGTCCGCGCAAAACAGAGTTGAGCGGCGCATTCGTTTCTTACATCTTTCTGCATGATCATGATGAAACAACACGTGAACTTTATTTTCAACCACAAATGTTACTACACTTCACTCTTACACACTTATTAAAACCATATACGAACAGAGACCTTCGATGATCGATCGGCTCGATCGGCTCAGAACTGTTTCTCGCTACCACCGCTAGGGGATTCTTTTCGGCTTCTGGTTGGTTAAGAGAGCATGCCAAGCCCTCTTTCCGAGTCTGCCGCACGTCCTGGCTCTGCTCGCACCTCCCATTGACCAAACTCTCTACATATACGGCTCTGCTCTATGTGAGGCACTCCATTACGCACATAAAGTGCTGCGCTACCATTGGGAAACGATGAGATCGATGGGTTTTTGTACACATCGTACCCGGAAATTGTTCGCTGCAGCGGTAAGCCCGCTTCACATAGTGCAAGAATTGGGATAGGCATTGTCTGTAGCAGTAACTTTAACTCGGAAAGACGGGGTTGGATTCCAGCGCAGTTCCATTGAAGCAGCAGTGGTACTTTTCTTGGCGGCTTTAGATTCCCTCCACTGCTTATGGCCTCAAATAAGGCTTAGGTGGTGAAGAGAGTGAGGAGCGTTGTCAGTATTGAGTGAGAGGTTCGAGCCCAGGGTGCAGCGATTGAGGCAAGTACATTGCAAGATAAATTGAGTATGAGCTTCATAATCGAGGTCCACGTTGTCTCGACAGTCTCTGTTTCCATCTCTGAAGTGTTTTTCTTTGCATGTCTTGGTTCCTGCTTTCGTTCAGTCACCGTACGTGAAGGCTCTGGATTTGGTTTCGTTTTGGCAAAGATGACTGGAATGTTTGGTTCTTGGTCTGCCAGCGCAGCGGCGTACGTTATTCCTGGACGTGGAGGTGGAGGTGTCTTTTGCATTTCCATCTCCTTGCTTGGCTCTACAATCAGTGGTGGGTCAGTTATTTTATGTTGGGTTGTGAATTCTTCTCTGCCAAGTTGCTCTGCTTCAGCTGCTGGAGTGCAGATTTCGCCGAAGAAAAGCTCAGATCGTGGTTTTTGGCATAGGTTAGAATGTCTTGTTCATGTTTCCACCTAGGGCATAATGGTGACGTTGCCTCATGGGAACCGTTGCAGTTAAAGCACTTGGCGGGGCGATTCGAGCAATCGACCTTTTCTGTGCCTGTTATTACGTGACACTCACCGCATCTACTGCATCCAGGAGGTCTCTTGCAGGCAATGGCGCGATGTCCGAAGCCACTGCAATTTTTGCACTGGATCGGCCGCTCCTTGAAAACTGCCACTGAGTGTCAGACGTGGCCAAGGAGATCATGGGATGGCAATTCGGTACCAGCGAAGTTAATCTTGACAGACTCGGAGGCACCCAGTCTACGCAGTCTTGTTATGCGAACTGTGGATCTGATGTTCTCAGTGATCTCGGCGTCCGATAGGTTGGTTTCGACATGTCGAATCACACCTACTGCCGCAGAGCGCGAGGAAGGTTCGTAGGCGGTTACTTGTAGGCCGCAGATGGACGTGCAGTTGAGAAGCGTTCGCGTTGTCTGGCCGTTTCGTGTGTCTACGGCGATTAAATTGAGTCTGTCATTGACGCGTACTTCGATGATGCACTCAGGACAAAGCTTTTCTAGAGCTTTAGAGATCTTGAGGCCTCCGAGCGTAGTGATAATCTGATCAGGCTTGTTTGATATAAAGATTACCGTCAGCGACTCAGTGCTTCTTGAGGTTGTGCAATTTCCTGAAAGATGCACTGTAGATGAGGAGGCAAAGCTCCCTTGCTTCTGCTTTTTTTAGTTGATTTAACAAGGTGCCACTTGCCGGACGCATTATCCTCGGCGTCCATGTCGGCGATGTCACTAACGGATAACGGTGGGAAGAGTTCGTAACGATTGCCTTCAGGGAGGGACGAAGGACCAGCATCGGTTGGGCAAGTTTGCTGACCAGGCGTGATGGCAGAAAGGGCTGCTGAGCTGTCACTTGAAGGAATCTTGTCCTCTCCGGCTTGCTGGGACACCATTGGGGCTGGAACGAGGGGCCTGAAAGGGCGCCCTCCCCGACTTCAAAGAAATGCGATCCAAAAGTAGGGTTTCAAGAAGCCGCGAAGGAACAGAGCGTCCGCTTACGACCACTTTTTCGTCTTTCTCTCACACGACAGTTGAGACGCTTCACACCACGCCACGCGCCTTCGAGCAGAAATGCGCAGGTATCCTGGCTACAGCGCCACTTCTTTGTCATGAAGCGGCGGCACGTGGAACTACCCAAGAACGCCCAGAGCTATTTATATTATATCTCAGTATAAACGGCTCTGGGTGCACCTACCCCTATAGCCACTATAGCACGGGAAATGAGCGCCAGCGCCACCTGGGAGGTTCAACACGATGTGTCTTACCTTTCGGTCACCGTTTTCCCACTACTCAGTGTTCAAGTTCACTTTAGTAATTAGTCGTTAGTTGTTTATACACCGGGAGGTTAGTCTGCCAGAAAAATTACGACATTCTTTCCAACTGTAGATGAGACATTTAGCGAGAGCAGTACAACTGTTAGCCCGCGGTCTTTAACGTGCATCACACAGTAGTGATACACGACCGCACGCCGGTACAATGCTCCTTCAGATCAAAACTAGCAGGGGTGGGAATAAAACCCAGGATCCCTGGATTCTGCAGCATTCACTGAAGTATGAATCGACTTTTTATGAATGTTACGAAGAAGGGAAGAAAGAGGAAAATGAAGCTCTGTAGGCAGATTGCACGCGCCCTTACCATTGTTTTGTCGGACGCCTTAAATGGCCCGTCCACCGATGACCAGCAGTCCGCGATCGGTGTTCTAGCGACACCGCAGCCCCTAGAACTTCCGGTGACGGGGTCTAGGACTCCTCACGGAGTCATCGGACCATGGACCCGGCCGTTGCGTTGGAGCTGCAGGTTCAGCAAGAATCCACGTCGCGGTCTCGCATCTGCACCGTCATCGCAGTCATGGCGTGCATTGTCATGGGATGCTTCCTGCTGCTAGGCTTCTCGCTCAAGCGGAACGACGAGCTGGTGGCCATTTTGGACCAGTACCGTGAGTACCTCAACCAGCAAGTTGCGTCCAGTACAAATGCACAAGCCGCTGTTGCGGCGGCTGCTGCGCTACGTGCCAGGGGGCCTTCGCAGATCAAACGGGCATTGCCTCGCCACAACGCTTCACGAACCGACGGCGCTCAAGTGGTGTTCCTCAACGCACCTCCTCAGGGAAACCTCACACCGCGGAGAAGAATGATGCATCCCTCTAAGTTGATTGATCAGTCTGGGCATAATTCCCATCGGGAGAAAATAGGTCCGGCCATCGCTTCCAGCAACATTCAACAGCAAGTCGAAAGTGGCTCCCAAGCCAAGTCTCCAAATTCGATAGAACAACACACGTCCACGAATGCGAGAGGCAACGAAAACGCGTCACTGCAGTCGGAGGCAACTCATGCTATTTTCACCGAAACGACGAACGACGGTTTGAATTATACGGCATTATCATTAAGCAATGGTACCGACCCTTCGAGGTTACCTCTAGAGCTTCTCAACGGGACTGTCCACAAGCTCCACGGGACACCGACGGCAGCGACCTTGAAAAAGGTGCTTCAACACGACCTATCAAATCCTGGTGGAACTGGTCGTTTAGTGGTGTCGAAGATGTCGACTCTGACGGAGGATTCGGGAGACGAAATGGTAACGGAGGTGGAAGATGAGTTTGAGGGAACTCTGATCGTCCTCGCGAATTCGAGTCAGTCATCGGAGGAAGCGTCTACCGCATCAGCAGTCACGCTTACCTTAGCCAGCATTGCTAAGAGTACTCCCACAAGGCAAGCTGGTACAAACGACACATCCCACCACAAATGATTTTACTGAAGAACGATTTCTGTTCTGCAGAAAAGCCGCACTCGGAGCCCAGCCTCTTAGCCCGCGTGCGAACATCCAGGGAACGTTCTTGGAGCTTTCGAAGTGTGCTTTGTGAATAATGAAAACGCACGCTCGTTGCATTTTGTGCAAGAATTGAGAGACTGCTGAAAATATTGACGATTTCGTTTTAGGTGTGCCCATCAAATAGGATCATAAACAACTGCCATGTTTATTTCTGAAATGCTTCTTGCCATTTTTATAACACCAAGTCATTTTTATGCCTACATGAATGGAGAGTTGTGTGCTGGTACGTAGACTCTACACTCTAAAGCATGCAGTCTTGTCTGGCTGGAAAAGCTGCGGGAATAAATGCTTCGTTTTGTTGTTGTTGCCATTTGCATTTCTCTTTCGAATACGTCTGTTCCTCGTTGACATGCAAATGTTAGAAAAGTAAGTAACTGCATTTCCAATTACTCAAACCTAAATTGTAAATAATTAGTCAAAACTTCCGTGTCATAAAAGAAAATGACTGTATTACTAAAAAGTACCCACTTGCTTTCGCGGAGTTATAGTTGTATGAGCTACCGAAGGATGGCGCAACGTGGGAAACGAGAACAGTGCATCGCTTCGAACGAACATCTCTGTACCGAAAATGGGGAGCCATGAGGGATTTAAATACCTGTTTTATTATTAAGCGCATATTTTTTTTTTTAATAAATGACCGCTCTTTGCGAACTAGACACGAACCTGTCTTCAAGACAACTCTCCCCCTGCGAGATTAAAGTCTTGGCAAAAGGCCACGGCTTCAACATGATCACAACCCGGCCCCCTCTTCCAAAAATGGTTGCCGCTGTGGAAGACGGCATTGCTCGTCTGACCCTAGCGTCCGAGAAGGTGCACGACTTAAAGCGATAGGCATCCTTTCAAAACCTCCACCGAGGCAACGCCACAATCTATCTCGCGATCAAACTGCTGCGCTTCGGAAGCTCCACGAGGATACAGAGAGTGTGCTACTGCCGGCAGATAAAGGGAAATCTACCGTCGTCCTGGACCGGGAGGGGTACGAACAGAAGGCACGGGATCTTCTGGAACGTCCGGCCTATGAAAAGCTCAAGAAAGATCCAACGTCCCAAATTCAGCGGAACATGAACAAGATGTTGTCTGACATTTTCAAGCAATATCCAGAGTCGAAAGCCCTTTACTTGCATCTCATCTGCAGGAATGGCTCTGCGCCAAGCTTCTACGGACTACCCAAGACCCACAAACCTAACGTCCCCTTGAGACCTATCGTGGACTTTACGACCTCACCGCTCCGAGCGCTGTCAAATTACCTACAGTAAAGCCCCTTGATAAAGGCACTTTTACAAGTACCGCCAACCATTGTTGTGGAACCGCGCGAGACACGTGCCACGAGCGGGTGCTCCGCCGCCATTCGCTTCCTAGGGCCGCTCATTTTAGTGCTGCGCCGCCATTTGCTTCCAAGGGCCGCTCGAGACGCGGGTCTCGTGCACTCGCGCATTTGACGCTACTTGCACGACAAACGCAAACATATCGAGGGGCTTTAACCTACACCGGACTATAGCTCCCCTTGTTGGAAATACGCTGACCCACGTGCTGAACACTGGCCACTTCGTGGAACGTGCCTCGCAAGTGAGACTCAGCGATGATGACACGATCGTGTCTTTCGACGTTGTGTCGCTCTTAAAGGGGTATTCACACGAGGGAGAAATCCCGGGGATTTCTCCCCGGCACGCGCGCATCACGAGATGAAAACGCGAGGCTTTTGCACATCGCAAAGCCTGACGTTTTCGTCGTGGGATGCGCGTGCCGGGGAGAAATCCCCGGGATTCCTCCCTCGTGTGAATGCCCCTTTACCAGCGTGCCAGTTCCCTTAGCAGTTGCTGCAGCCAGAGAGGTTCTCGAGAAAGACGAAACATTGGGCTCAAAAACCAGCCTCAGTGTTGATGAGCTATGCCGCCTTCTCGAGTTCTGCCGTGGCAGTACGCACTTCAGCTTCCAGGGTGAGATTTTCAAACAAGTCAGCGGAACGGCAATGGGCGCCTCTATTTCTGTCACGACGGCAAACCTCACAATGGAAGTGGTTGAACAGAAAGCGCTTAGCACTTTCACCAACAGGCCAAAAGAGTTCATGCGCTATGTAGATGACTGTTTTTGCATCTTGAAGAAATCAGAGGTGAACCACTTCCTCAAACACCTGAATTCCATAGAACCGGCCATCTAGTTCACTGTAAAATACGAGAGAGATGGAGTCTTGCCGTTCCTCGATGCTCTGGTGAAAAGGCAAGGAGACAAGCTGGGGTTCACGGTCTACAGGAAGCCAACACACACCGGATGCTACCTTGATTATGACTCGGATCACCCAACGAGTCACAAGACGTCGGTGGTCTCTACTCTCTTGTCTAGAGCAACGACCATCTGCTCGTCGGAACGAGACAGAAGAAAGGAGAAACAGACCATACTTGCTGACCTTCAAAAAACCGGCTACTCAAGGAGTTTTGTTCAACGCGTCGCCCGTCGACAGTGCTGCACGCGCAATAACCATAGATCGTTGGGTGACACAAGCCCCGCCCCATCACGCGCATCAGCGTCCCCTGTGTAAAAGGGACGAGCGAGACACTGGCGCGCGTGCTCCGAAAAGAAGGGATCCAGGTGGCGCACAAGCCAGTGTCCATATTAGGACGGCTCATGCCAAGGCCGAAGGATCGCCTCCCGAAAGAGAAAGCACAAGGCGTGGTCTATAAGATACCGTGTGCGGAGTGCCCCGCCGCCTACATCGGTGAAACTAAATCTTTCCCGAACGCATGCGCCAGCACCAGAACGATGCGCGCAATTTCGATTGCGAGCGTAGCGCCGTCGCGGAACATTGTGAGGTATTTGATCATCGGATCGACTTCGGAAACGCACACGTGATAGACACGGAGCCACATATTCGAAGACGCTTGTTCTTGGAGTCGTGGCATATCCAGAATACGCCGGGGAACATTAACGGGTTCCTCGGAGCCTTACCATCAATTTACGTCTATGGCCTGCGTCACGTCCACAAAACATCACCTCGGTAGAAGAGGAAGGAGAGTTCGAAGCTCGCGCTGGTCCCATTCCATTTTTAGTCACCCCTGAAGGAGTCAAG